CAGGTGGGAAATATGCACATTTTGGGAAATTCTGAAAATTTTTTGGGAAATCATCGTTGGTTTTCGTATATTTCCTCTACTATGTCAAGTCGTGTGTAAATTGTGGGATGAGAAACGTAGTGAAAAACTTCGGAAAAATTGCTAGTGAAAATTGTTAGGGAAAATATCAACTTCACATATTGGTGACAATATGGAAATTCTGGGAAAATTTCGGAGAATTTCCATTGGTTTCTATACACTTCTACCCGAATTCTATAATGTAGCTTTGGAAACTCCCGAGCTCAGCTGAGGAAAGCGAACATATATTCCTCCAACCTCGAACGTAACTATCTGTGTTGGAATATATGTTTGGTTTCCTCAACTGAGCTCGTAAGTTCACTCACTGCATTATGAAAATTCACACTCACGATTTGGGTTAGAAATGTGTAGAAAAATCAACGGTTATTTTCACCAACACACGTAGTTGACCATGTGCATATAACCCTACACTAGTCAGTTCATTCAGGCCAGTAGTCACCGAGTCCTCACTGGAGACGACTTGTACTCTGCTCGGCCCGACTTGGTGTTGGGAACACTAAAAGTGGCGCTAGTGAAGGGCAAGGATCTACAGGTAGTGGGGGAATACTGGGCGCCGAAATCTCAGACAGATTCAACATGACTGAAATCGCACAAGTAACTACAGCGGTAGTACTCTGAGAATAATATTGGAAAGTATATTCAGGCATGGGGGGAGATGCTTCTTTTCAGGCTAAGGACCCGTTCGTTGAAATCCATTTGGAAAATCATCGTCGGAGGAGTAGTCACGCCACGGCGGATAAGGCTACAGGAAGTACTTGGGAGAAAATCAACTTTATATCTACAGCATTTCCAGGTTTTTCTCGAATTTTTGGTAATTTACCCGCTTTTTTTCGGAAAAAAATCCATTGTCAAATTGATTTGGAGAATTTACCCGATTTTTTTGATAATTTTCCCATCTTTTTGGAAGAAAAATCCATTGTCGATTGATTTAGAGAATTTACCCGAATTTTTGATAATTTTCTTTTTTTTTTGTAAAAAAAGAATTTTCTTTCTTCCCTTGACTTTTTTCGATAGTTTTCAATGATTTACCCGAAATTTTCAGGAAAAAAAGTTGATCATTTTAATACACATACCGACTATCATCGAGCTTTACGATTCCCGTCGTAAATCATCATCTCAGCCGTTGAATGGGAGGATGCCCGGTGGAGTTTGGAAGTCACCGATCTTGCCAGCGACCTCCATGTGGTGCTCTTTGCTTCTCATCAATTCCGGACACCCCAGCCCTTGGGACGAGTCATTGTAGTAGATGGGGGGGAATATGTATGATAACGGTTTTTTGTAATATACGATCATTTGGGAAGGCTCATCGGTGTTTTGATGGAGTCAGTTTGTTGTAAACAGCTACGCTTCGTCGGCTGAAGGGAAATATTTTTTTCGGAAAATTTTCACATTCGTGTATACTACTTCGCTGCTGAGTGTTGGAGTAGCACGCATGAGCATGGTCATGTTTTTATGCTAGACTGCATTGATATTTGTAATATATATATTGATTGTATAATTGATAATAATGTGTAGCCCGTACCATCCTCGTCTCAACTTTGATCTGAGTCCGGCTAACACCTATGTCGAAACGAACAATTCTGATGCCCTTGAGCCCGGCGTTAGAGAGGCATTTCAATTGACAATTTTTGTTTTTTTCGAGTTGAGATTTTCAAGGCATTTTCATGCAGGCTTTGGGTGTGTTTAGGTGCCTCTGCCCACCCTTGTTGAGGATTCCTGGTCGGGGCATGCTAGACCGGTGGAGCGTAGTTGGTTTGAAGTGTATCCTATTACTACTAAGATAGAGCAGAAAGCTGGCTGTAAGGAAACGCAGGAGTATTACTCGTGCAAAAAGTACTATGGGGATGTGGGCGTTTTAACACGGGTAAAAACGTTAGACAGCGTTTGGTGACAAAATTGGTCCCTTCTTCTTGTCCTCATTATCAAGACTCCTCCTCTGTCGTGATAATTTGACGGCGTCTATCGCCTCGAACGTGCGGAGTTTTGGACAACCTTCATCGCGTAGCCGTAGTCTTGATAGTCTTCGACGTGAATTCAACGAGGAATGGTCAGCAGACTATAATTCCCGTAGCAAGTAATAGTAGTTGATAAAAAAGGGCATGGGAAGCGGAGCGATGCTCAGTTTGGGTGGCTCTAGGTATCTCACAGCTGTTCCGAAGTGGCCAGGTTCTGGTATGGCTAAACCGGCGAAATCTATAGGCTTTATCTGTCTAGAAGTAGTAGAGCTGAATCGTGATTTGTGCAGACGGTGTTGTGGTAGTTGGGACTGGAATTGGAGGAGTCTGCGTGGATGGCATTGTTGAGGTCGAGGCCTTGGTGGCAATTGGCACCGACGAGAGCAGTCTCCATGGGCAGCGAGGATGATGTACTACAACGGACCTACTTTGAATCTTTGCTAGATGAACCTTGGATACCTGTGTGTTGTCAGGATCACTCTATATTGGCGTCAGAGTTGAGCGATCACGAGGAGGAAGAGAAGTCTTCGGTGACGAGTCAAGAACAGATCCTGCGGGCTGAATATGAATTCGAAGCGAATCCGTCGACGATGTATGTCATCCCAAGGCTTAGTGACGTGCAAGGAGATATGGCACTTTGGGCACTTTTGAGAAATTTCCGATTTCTACTGAAACGGAATAAAATGCGAATACGCAGGTTGAAGAGTATGGCTCCCTTACTATCGTATTTTTTCTCGGCACATGGTCCGCTGATTTTACTCGTTGTTATATGGGCGTACACGTGTCTGTTGGCGCCGAGGGCGCTGTGGCCGTGGATAGTCCTTATACTACTTACAGTAAACGGAGTGATGTCCGCCAGGGATTGGGAATTCCGACAAAGAGACGCATATGTGGTGTGGGAGGCTGACGTGGATGCTCGGGAGAATGCTGATGTGAGATTACGCAGAATGTTGGTAATGCTGACTAAGATTAATATTAGAATTCATAGAGTGCTAAATGTGGTTGAGAGAGTACCAACGGCGTGGAATTGGAGTGATCCGCTGGTGACGAGGTTGGCGTATATTATCGCTGTGCCGACGTGTCTAGTGACGTCATTTATATTAGCATTCGTTCCGCTGCATTTTACAGTGTTTCTGACTGGTACGATAGTGATATTGAAAATTTTCCGCAGGCAGGAAAAAAAGAGAAAAAATGCTATGGTTCAGTCGGCGGTGGATCGGGAGAGGCGGCGTTCGGTGGATCTGGATTCGGAGGATTCCGATTTGGAGGCTTTTGATGAGTTTCCGATCACCACTGAGCGATCGAGCGATTTAACGGGACGGTCTGGGCTGGGAAAACAAGTCCGAAAAGCAACGATTATGATGCGTAATTTTTTCTGGATGATTCCGGACGATTATGAACTTGGGCATCGCTATGTTGCCAACACGCAGAGGGTCGGAGTCGGCGGAGCTGCGAAGAAGGTTTCTACTGATTTCAGAATCAACCAACAATTATAATATCTTGAGGTTGACCTTGGTATGTTACGGAAGAAAAGATATGTATATGTTTTATTATGATGTGCCCTATTATTATAACTGAACATTTGCACGCCGGTCTATGGGACAATTTTGATTCTCTGTTGATGTCATTCAACGTTTGCGTGGTGGTTAGTGAAGTGATAGAGAGAAAACTGGGTGTTAGCTCTTTTTCCTAATGACTGCCTGCATAGTATGCTGGACACGATAGCTGGAAATCATCATTATCATCATCAGTCTATGGGACATGTGGGTACTATAATGGGGGTAGAGGGCATGTTACAATCGCCATTGTTAGTGTGGAAAAATTGTGTAAGTTTTTTATTGTTTGTGAAAACAGAAGTATACACGTTTGACATGGTAGATCTCACAACTCACGAGTAAACGTTTATCATCGTAATTCTGGATAGGAGTACACCATGGTGGTAGAGTAAGGCTGATAGGATGGCAGTCGCCTTGGTCAAATGAGGATGGACCGATATTCGAAGGGAAGCATTTATGGTAGGCCGGGCCTACTAGGCCCCACAGGATGAAATATATATGCGGCGTTTCGGGCCGTGCTCACGTTAGTCCGAGTGATTCGCAAGAATCATTCGGCCGTGCTGTTCGCCATTCCGGCGGCCAATGCGGCTGGAAATACACAAATCGGACCAGTGGACAATTTTGGCCCACAAACTTTAGGGTCGCAGAGCGCAGTTTCAATGCATGCAAATTTTGCACAACTTTTCTGCGTAGTTGAGGAGAGTTGAGCTATGCTGACTAGAAGTCAGTGACTTCCAATTTCCAAGTTCCAGAATCACCTCAGTGTCATGAATTTCTCGCTTTTCATTTTCCTCATGAGCTGTATCCAGACCTTCAACGATTCGTATGAGTGGCTCCAAGCTGAAGTGTGGACAGTACACTCTTTGGTGCAAGAGATACTCTGCTTTCGAGGGCCGCAAGGATCAGCGGTGGAAAGGACGCGTGTGCGGCTGCAGGCGGTGTGGCAACACGAAAGTATGGAAGCCAGCGGCTCGCCTGGCGGAACACAATGCCTCCCATGCAACGACCCTCGAGGCTGAAGGTAGGATGATTCAGCCTCTGTTGACCAAGGCCATTCCTGGTTGGAAGGCTAAGATAGATGCTAAGCAGAAGGAAAGGGAGCTGGAGCAGGATGCTAAAATGGTCTCTTATTTTGATGCTGTTAACTTCGCCGCGACCGAGCATATCGCGATGCGAAAAGTGCAACCTATGATGGATTTGCTCAGTCGGCATGATGTCCCTACCCCAGTGGGATGAAGGTCTGTCAATTACCCCTTCGTCATTGCTCGCTCCTTGGACACGAGTTAGAGGAAGAGAGTTCATCAACTGTGGCGGCGGGCGGCCGCGCACAGTTGTTGAACTCCGCCGCCGCCCCGAACTGGGCCGCCGCCGGCGGCTGCAGTCCTGGCTATCGCTTGTGATGAAACAACCGATCAGTCGGTCACCAAGCAATTAGTTACGTATATCAAACTGGCCGGTCACGACAAACAAATTTGCCTGGGGCTGACAGAGATGGGAGGCGGAGTGGGGAAGGATATATCTGATGCCCTCCTATTGCCACGGATGGTGCGGCTCGTATCGTCGGAGCGAAGCTTGGGGCAGTTTTGTTCATCAACGAACGTATAGCGGAGGAGACCGGCGGAAATGCTGATCACCAACAGCTTCTCACGATGCACTACGTGTTCCACCGTTTGAATCATACCGTCGGAGACGCCCTCGGAGACCCCAAGTGCAAGAAGCTTTGCTCTGAAGTGGAGGGTGTATTGAGGATATGCTATAATTTCCTTGCACAAAGCTCAGTGCAGAAGAATGCATACAAAAGGGTTATCCAACACTTCACGGCAGAAACTCTCCCGGTAGCCTGGTGTGAAACCAGGTGGTCGTCTCGGTTCAGATCTGTAAAGACCGTCTTCGACTTCCGGCAAGCTAAAGTATATCCGGCACTCCTATAGAAGGATGAATATCGGGGAAAGGGTTGGGCAGGTTTGACTGTGGTCATTAGGGGGGAGTTTCTAGTGTAGATTTCCGTATAAGATTACAGATCGGAATTGCAAAGTATGCGGAGATTTATAAACAGTGGTTTATTTCGTGGACTCTGTTGGAGTAGAGTAGGCCTTCAACGTATAGAAATTGTCGAGGATCATCATCGATAGTGAATGTCTGTTTACCTAGAGTGTGGTTGGAGGAAGGGTATGCAGGTATAAGCTACAAGACCTGGACCAGGGCGCTCATGGGTTGCGGAAGTATTCATGGAAACATGATACTGGTAGTAGGGGAGAGACAAGGAAGTTGTCTGGCCTTAATAGACTTCTTGTGAGGTTATTCTGGGTAGAACTTTGGTCAGTGAGTGGTTGCTCGATAGTACTATTAGTAGTGGTTGTCAATATATGGGATTTCGCTGGCCCTTGCTTTCTACTATAGTAGGTCTCCCGAACACTCTGTATGATCTTGTGGATGCTATGCGCAGTGGTAGCAAATCGAAGTTGCTACTACACGGTGCTGAGTTGAGCGCTGGTAGTGAGGAAGTGGTCAGTAGTCATGGTTAGTGTCATTTGATTTAGTTAAGTCGTATATGGCGGATGTGCATCGGGACTATTGGCAAGGTGTTGGCAGGGCGATCAAGCACTCTTCTATTGGGTGGTTATAGGATGTAATTGGAAATGACGTTATATCAGGACCAGATTAGTAACATTAATGGAGTATATATAGTCGTAATTAAAATAGAAGATATGTATGTATGTGATATAGGCACCTTGGGTTAACATAAAATGGATTGCAATGGTAGGTGTTTGAGTTTGAAGTTAGACGTCGGCTTGAACGATGTGCTTGCCTCTTGGTGAGCACGCTGTTGCGTTTTCCAGTTGGTCGTGATGGGCCGGTTCACGGGTTAATGCGGCTTCATATGAGCTTTCATTGGAGTTTCACCCGTTAAACGTGAGGTGGCGTATTACTCTATGTTAATCTCAGACGTGAATGTCTTCGCGAAGTGAAATGCGAAATATGTTTTTCACTAGTGTGTTGCATTGTAGGTGATGTGATTACTCACATCATAATCAATGTATTATCATTTTTTCTGTTTTTGGTTTTTTCCCGGGATGTACTTGCAGTCTAAAAAGAAGGGGAAGAGTCCACTTATGGCCGTATGTCGCTATGGAGCAGCGTGCAACAGGAAGGACTGCATCTACAGGCACCCAGAGTTGAGGAGTGATATAGGTAACTTTTCAGAGTAGCTAGGAGTGTGATCTGAGACCCATTTAGCTTTGCGAAATAACGTTCTCCAGGGTTTTTATAGCAATGGAGTTTCACCCTAGTGATATGAAAAACCCTAGTGAAAAACATGTTTCACGACTATTGCAAGGCGCAAACATCGAGTTTTTCACGGAGTTTTACGCCACTTCACGTAAAACGGGTGAAACTCCAATGGGAAAAATGATTCTCAGTGTGGGAAAATATGCAGATCGTTAACCACATGTGTTGGTGACAATAAGGAAAGTCAGAGGAAATTTTAGGTAATTTCTTTACATTTCTACACGAGTTTATATGTAAATTCTATAATTTTTGAGGAAAATCTCAGACTCAGCTGAAGAAAGCGAATATAAACCCCCTCACAAAATAATAGAACATACAGTATTTTTTCGATTTCTCTGTTATTACTGCGACTCAGGTTGTGAGATTTCGTGTGTGAGGGTATCACTTATGTAGGAACAAAAATATATCAGAGTCGTATCATTATTCGCTCGCCTTAGTAAAATTTCTGAAACGGTCAATTTTTCCGCGCTTTCAAAAAAATAGAACACCATCTTAGACAGATCCATATTGATCACAGAGCGACTATTCGCATATGCCCCGCGCTAAAGCTGTTACTCCACATACACAGGAGCTCATCCGTATCATGGGAAGCACTCGCCTACCGAACGGTGAGGCTAAATATACCCATAGTGAGATTGCCAGCTGCCACGGAGTATCCAGGCCAGTTGTCAGCAAGATACTCGCGAAGGCACCCCAGACCTACCCGCCCCAGCCTCCCGAGCGACGTGGGCGCAAGCCGGTATTATCCGATAGGCAGAAACGGCACATCATGAGAGAGTTTGCGAAGGATCCCGACGTCACGTGCACCAAGATCGTGCGTATTTGTAAGCTTAGCGTGTCCCCACAGACGGTAAGGCGTTTTCTGAGGTCGAGCGGGGCTGCTTATGCTAAGATTCCAACAGCTCCAAGGTTAACTCCGGCCCATAAAGCAGCCCGAGTGAGTTTTGCCTCCGAGCACTTGCTTGCGGAGACTGATTTCTCGACGTGGATTTTCTCTGACGAAAAGCGATTCAACTTGGATGGCCCAGACGGCCTGCGCTACCGATGGATGTTTCCCGGACAAGAGAAAGCGGTTCTGTCGAAAAGAGCATTTGGTGGTGGGTCTATCATGGTCTGGGGTGGGATAGCTGGATCTCATAAAGTAGCCCTGGTGGAAATACAGAGCAACATGAACAGCGAGGTCTACCAGTCCATGCTCGAGATGAACTTGCTACCATTCCTGGAAGCGGGGGAGGAGGAAGGAATCGAGTACACCTTCCAACAAGACAATGCGAGGCCTCACGTATCTTCTTCAACTAAAGAATGGCTGGCACGCAATGGCGTGACAACCGTCCAGTGGCCAGCAGTGAGTCCAGATCTGAACTGCATCGAGCACTGCTGGGGCAGGATGGCTCTAGCCGTCTATGGAGGGGGTAGAGGCCCCTATAGTACCAAGGATGAACTCCGACAGGCAATTTTTAAGGCCTGGGATGACCTGACACCCGAAGATATCAGCACTCTCACTAAGTCGACTCGCAGTCGCTGTGTAGAGGCGATTAAGTGTCAAGGTGGCCCTACGAGGTATTGTTAGTTTCTTTTTGTGTGAATCGTGTCTCCTCAGTGACAGGAATGTTGAATTACAGTCCCAATTTAAGATGACCTTGGTGGGTTCTATTTTTTTGGAAGCGCGGAAAAATTGACCGTTTCAGAAATTTTACTAAGGCGAGCGAATAATGATACGACTCTGATATATTTTTGTTCCTACATAAGTGATACCCTCACACACGAAATCTCACAACCTGAGTCGCAGTAATAACAGAGAAATCGAAAAAATACTGTATGTTCTATTATTTTGTGAGGGGGTTTATATTCCAACACTGATGTTCCTAATGTGATGGCATTTACATGGGAAACTGATCGAAGAATGTGTTCCTAGACATACGTGGAAAATTCAAAATGAGTTCCCCCCCGGGAGGTGATTTTCTGACGGTGATTGCATTGTGTCAGGCGCGGGGCCTCTGGACGACCCTGAGGGCGTGGTCGAAGGGAAAGTCTGCATGCCCTTTATAGCTGGTCTTTGCACTTTCGGTAGGGTCTTTGGTGACTCTCTGGTGGGAGGCTGTTGTGTGCTAGGAGACAGATGTTTTAATTGCCATCCTGATCCGCAGCAAGTGAAACGATTAAGGGCGAAATATTCCCGAACTAAATGCAGATTTGGGAAGGACTGCAAAACGTCGGTGTTGGACGATTAATCGTTACTCGAAATTTGTGCATGCGTGCTAGGTCCGGCTGTCTGTATAGTCATGAGAGCGGGAGTGTAGGCGGATGGATGGCGCCCCCGACTGTGGCTACTGAGGAGCTCCCGAGAAGTGTAGTGTATCAACAAGCGGCGCTACAGCAACGGCTAGAGGCTGGTTTGGGGAAAACCGTGAGAGCCTTGGGTTTAGGTTTCCATACAAGCAGTAGTGAAATATATGTTCGCTTTCCTCAGCTGAGCTTGAGAGTTTCTTTACTACTTATAAAAATTTACATATGAATTTGGGTAGAAATGTACGGAAATT